TCTTCATTTCATACACTGGATAAATTTCTATCCATGAGTATTGAAAGTTCAGCAAACATTAATTGAACTTCATGCAAAATTACAGGTGAAAATGAAACAGGTTAAAAAAATATATGCAATAGTTTTATCTAAAGATGTTATAACAGATGAAAACATTTAAAAAAATAAAACATTAGTTCAAATTCCTAAATATTTCTCCCCAAATACAAGGAAAATTTTTACATTTTGCCATGCTGGTGTACCCAAAGGAGAGGGCATAAAATGTTCTGCAAACTACATAGAGGATAAAACTTCTGAGTCAAGAGTATCATGTAAATATAGTCATTCCTCAACATCAAAAGAGTAAAATTTGCAGAATTCATAAAAGATATTTTTCAAGTGACATTTTCTCTATTTTATCTTTACTGTATAAACATACTTTAGTGGAAATGATGACACATGATGTGCAATTCTTTTTTAATTTATAGTTTCAAAAATAAGATCTGGTAGCACTCAATCATTCATGACCATTTGCTCAAGTTTTCCAACTTGTTTCACCCCTTTGCGACAATGATTTTTCCGGTGTGGAGAAAGAAAAGGGTATATTAAAAGATTTTTCTTTCCAAGTGCTTCTGTCATTATAGTTAGAAGGGCAGCCTCACACACATATATAAAAGGAGAACTTCAATTTCAAATTGCACTGACTTCACTGCGGTCGGGAGAGTCCCATGACCTTTAAATTTGATGAGAAGAGAAAGAAGGTATTAAGATCATTATTTTATCTGAAAGTCCACCCAAAGTGAGGGACTCTGAATCATATTTCTGCAAAAAATGACAGAAACAGTTTTTATAAATTGATCATCATTATTGTGAAAAACAGTACGTAAAGATTTTAACACATATTCAACCTTGTTCATCTAATTTGAATTCTCTTTGTAAAAATCACAGTATTACTTCAAAACTATCATTATTTTGGACAGCTTAATTATAGGTCTTACATTTGTGCTATTAAATGTAATAAATTCCATGTTAAATATTATATTTCAATCTCATATTTACCAAATTTATTTTGATACTCTAAAAGTGTTTATTGTGCTTTCTCATAATACATGCACTTTTGCCTTTACACTGGATATTCACTTTGGTGCAGAAAATTATAATAGAGACAAAGGAATCATAGCTATAAAATAATTATGTAAAGTGTAAGGGACATGGTAAATTAACTAACCACATTTTTCTTATGGTGATATTTGGATAAGAATTAATTTTTAAAATAGCTAAAATACCTCACTCAGTTTTCCATACCTATACACAAGTTTTGCTTAGGTTATTTATTCTTTTGTACAATCATGCTGGGTATGTTTTATTATTCTCATACAAAGAATAAAAATCTGTAGAATAGTATCTGATATAAGAATGACATCTTTTGGAGTATGATATATAACTCATGTATTTCTTAAAATATGATTTATGAATTACTTCCATCAGATTTACCTTGCTAAGATTCAAATTCTTGTTCACAATCCCAGCATACTTTATGAATTTACTCTTACCTGATAACCCTGAGTTGTAACACATTTCAGTCAAGGATAATTATTCTCATTTACAATGTAAAGAAATATCATAAAACACTTGAGTATTTTATATATTCAATTACTATGGAGGTAGAATAACAAAAAATTTAAAAAATGTAGCAGTAAATTTTTTCCCCTTAAACTCAATGTCTTAGAAAAGAAGGGGAAAAGTTAAAGAACGTTAAACCAATAACCTCTAATCAGTCAGCTACTGGCTGTACTCAGCTGCTGGAAACATTGCCTTCAGATAATGATAAACAGAAAGAAGAATGCGTGATTTGACTAGACCCATAATAATTTATGTCTCTATCTGTAATCCAACAGTATTTAGCTATAATTTGTGAAAGTTTTAAAAAAGTCAGTATGGCAGAGTGATAAGATAAAGTAGATTTTCATTGTTCTAAACTTAGGGGCAGAGGGAAACAATTGCAGCATAATTTTAAAATGAATGCTGCAAAGATGTTTGTGATGCTGAGGAGAAAGAAAAATTGCTTGTGAATACCATGTGGAGAGAACTTGAGGAGAGTTGATGTTGGGTAAACACAGGGAGCAGTGGGTTGCAGTAGTACAGGTTTAAAGATGACTAGAGGATTGACTGAGAAATATGCTTGAGGAAACCTGGAGAGTGAAAGAACAGAGACAGAGAGAGAGAGAGAGAGAGAGAGAGAGAGAGAGAGAGAGAGAGAGAGAGAGATTATAGTCAGCACTTATGCAAATAACTCAGTGAGGAATTGGACAGGGAATTTTGATGATTTGCACACATTCCATTCGTTAAATGTTCCGCTATTAATGGCTTTGATCATTGTAGTCTACTTAGAGTATGAAGATTTATGAATTTTTATGAAAATGATAAAAATACTTGGTCTTAAATCAACCATTGGAAGAAAAACTTGTGGAGCAGCAAATGCCTTAAATTGTAATTTTCTAAGGTAGGCAATGAGAATAATGATTTCTATTTGATTTAATACCTCTAAAGAGATTATTTTTTAAGGTTGGAACAAATGCAAGACAGTGGAACATATTTTATCTTTGGTCATAAAATATTATTTTATAAGTAGAAGAAGGAAGTATTGTGAAGTGATTATTATTTGATTAAGATGTATAACTATTAAAATTATTTATCCAGTTCAGTCACTGATAGTTATTTTTAGTATGTAATAATCAAAATATCCCCTGAAGTTTAGGAGCTAAATGTGCTTCCATAATTTAAGAGAAGAGGATGATGACCATTGGCAGGTGACTTCTTTCATGTGTTTTAAGAACTGGATTATAAGACATGGATAAATTAGTAAATTATACCTCCCTGTTAAACAATACTATTTATCCTACTTAAATAATTCCCCAATTTAGAAGAAGAATCACCCTATACTTTACCTTCTCTTCTGTGGATAGCTCTAAAGTTATATTTTTCATAATGTCCTAAAGTATTTAAAATACATGATACTTGTGGTAGAATGTAATCTGATCAGTTAACATTAAATGTTCCAATTCCACTTCCTGACAATGAAGCATTTCAATGTAATGATGAGCTCCAGAGGTTCATATCTCTTATAGCACTATAAAATACATCTCCGGTCACTGCTTTGATCTAAGATGAATACCAATCTGCTGTTTTAAATGAGGTAATGAAAGAGCACATTTGGTACTGTAATAAATAATGTAATTCTGCACATTTAGCTTTGTATGCATCAGCTCTACAAATAAATCATTGAGAAATCATTATTAGTTTTTCACTAGAGCGTTTAAGACATTCTTAGTGGGCAATTATGAAGTCTTGACAGATGTAAAGCTACACACAACAAAAGAATTTTGTATCCTCAGAATCACCTTGAGAACGTGTTTGCAAAATATTCCTAAGCATTTTATTTTGAATTATGCTGTGGATTATGTCAAATATTGGAATATCTGAAGAATTGTAACATTGTTTCTATATCATTCATCTGAAAAAACACGAAGTAGGATTAAAAAGTATTTTTTAAAATAATTTTTTTCATGATTCATTTTATCCTTACTTGGTGAAAATGTGCTCTTCTCTCCATTATCCCACTTCTTATTCATAGGCTTTGACTTAAAATTTATTTATGTTTTGATGATTTACTTATACAACCGTTTCTCATAAATATAATGTATGGAAGATTACATAACATATAAGCCTTTTATGAATAATTGGTCAAGAATTTGGCTAATGCATGGGTAATGACCTGAAACACAATATAAATAACAGTATTAATTTTCATTTAAATCATGTTCCATATTCATAGTTTTATAATTTATCATTATTAATCAAATAACTATACTCAAGTAGTAACATAATTGTCAATTATGCTGTAGTTATTATATGCTTTTTGGAAACAAAGTTCTGTGTTAATGACTTATATTTGTCAGTATGATGATTTTATGGTATTTGCTGCCTTCATAAAAATCACAAATAATGCACATTGTATCATCGAAGGCCAGTTCAGAAAATAGCTTCAACTCTCTGAATTGGCTGTGACAGAATTGACAGAAACCTTGAAATTGCAGTTATTTAGTTTGGTCCACTGTGCCCAGAGAGATCCACTTGGAATAGTTCTGGATGCTGTTCCTTTATTGTTTACAAGTATTCTTGATATGGTGATATTTGACAGTCATTTTAAATAAGAACTGAGGCCAATTAAATTGCTTCTCTGTGGATTTTCTTTGTCAGATTCACAGAAGCGTCTGTGTTAGCCAGTGACATTGTTTAAGTACAGCTATAACTGCTCCAAAATTTATTTTGGTTCCATCACTTAATGATATGGTTATAATTATTTTCAAAGGATAGAATTTAATCAGATCTTTATTTGTATTCTTTACTAGAGTTTTCATGATAATGTGCTGATGTCTATAAAAAAATGAACTTCTCTCAGTAAAGATTTGCGTACATTCTCTTGACTTCATGCTAATAGGCATGATTTGAAAAGGAAGGCACTGTATTTCTAAATCTCTGAGTAGGAAAATAAAAAGTGTGCTTCTCAAGCCCTGACACAAATGAATATTTGCTGGTTAGTAGTTAATTACTCTTTGGACTTTGAATCATCAGAAAAACAAAACATGGAAACTTAATCCATAAGGATTTGCTTAATATGCAAGCTCAATTTTTCTAAGTGGTTGCTTATAAACCTCATTAATTCTTAAATTAATTTCCAATTCTTAACCATGATTTCAATATTGGTATTAAATGTGTCATTTTAAGTGGAACTCAGAAATAGCAATAGAGCTAAACTCTAAAATGTATTTAACAAGCAATGTCCAACTGAAGTTACCCTCAACATACTGACAATATACAGGAAGTTAGCAGGATTAGCTACTGAATATTCATGAATCTGTGATGACTGTCTCCTTTATAATTTTATTTAGAATTCCTGCATTAGACTCTTGGGCTTTGTTATCCACTAATTTGTGTTATTATTGTTTGAATCTTTCCAGATGCTCTACCAACTGGTCGGGCACACAGTGTGAGAGGCCAGCCCCAAAGAGCAGCAAGTCTGACAATATCAGCACAAGTAAGTTCCTCAGGATAATATCTTGTGTGGTCTACAGAGCAGAGAAGTAACTTTTTCAGTTTACATCATTACTGAGGCTTAATATTATCACGGAGGCTTAGTAAATCCTCAGGGAATCATGGAAAAGATCCTTTTTAATTGGAAATCTTTTGAAAGATGAGAGTTATTTTCTGATGTGGCAACAGGAGTAAGCAGTTATACGTTCTTTTAGAGAGAAAACATTCATCTCAACTGGGGTACTTTTCAAAGAACAACTACAAAGCCAACATTAGCTTTTATTAGGAAATGACCATCAACCGCAAAGAATCACAATGAATGTGAAAATTCTCCAGAAAGAAAAATACTCCCAGTTTTCATTAGATTACAACATCTTACTTTAAGACTATAGATTATTAAACTCCGTAACTTCCGCCACTTGAAACATAAATGATCCCTAGTTCCCAACTGCATCACGCCATATTTCTCAGAGCACCTGAACTCTATTCTTAGGTTTTTCCTGTAGCTCTACTTCATAAACTCTTCTTTTGCCTCTTAAAAAAAAAAGAAATGCATTTCAATGTTCTTGAAAAACAGATTTGATTGGCTAGTTTAAGAAAAGAAAATTAGATTATCCTATGATTATTAATAAGGATAAAACTTGACTTATTTTTTCTTTATCATTAAGATACTGATTTTGAAGTGCATTAAGATATTTATCAACTTTGTACAATGCCTGTGCTTTGTGCAGATGTAGTCTTAGGTTAATCTTCATAGTCGTTGTTTCTGTATTTTTTGACAACTTAAAATAATATTACAAACTTTTAAAAATAAAAGTCTCCAATAAAGTTTACTCATTCACACATTTTCATTTATTAGACCATGAGCAGAGATATTTTACAAATTTTGTAATATGTATCAGGTTAATATATACATTCTTTAGGAGAAAAAATAATATCCTTGACTAACAAATACTTTAGCAATTTTTTCTGTCTCTATGAGCTGTAGACACATCATAAAGACAAATGAGAAGCATACAAACTTCAGAGTTTTTGCAAAAGGAAAGACATTAACAAAATCTAAAGTATATGGTTTTTGTATCCTAGAAGCAAGCTCCAGTGTTTCATGATCTAGCAGTCTGAATTTTTCTTACATTTGCACAGTGTCATTAGTTCCAGGAAGGGAGAACTGAAGGAAACTATAGATACGTAATTGTAGAATCAGGGTGCTGAAATTTGGGGAATTAGTTCATTAAATATTTTGTGTGGCAAAGTATTGTTTGCCTAATTCCATGTGGAGAAAGGAGATGAAAAGCACAGGAAGCATTTTCTCTCCACTCTTCTCAAGATGTAAGCCTCAAAATCAATTCTCTAGTAATAATTTTGGTGGCATACTAACTTAACATGATTTAGAAAACTATTTAGAGAAAGTCACATCATGAAGAGTAATTTTGAAAAAAATTAAAACTGAATTTAAAGATACCAGTCTCAAGAATGCACTGAATTTATAAATTGGGCATGCGAAGTTTAGGGCTTTAGCCCTTCTCTTATGCTAATTTCTGTGGTACCCAATATGAATAATTTAGAAAGTCTTTTAAAAAGTCAAAAGCAATTTTAGATTTTGGTAAAGCTCTGAAAAGAGAGAGAAAACTGAGTAAAACATCTGTTAATTTTCTAATTTTACATAAGATTATGTTAATCTGTTAATTTTATTATGTTAGATTATGTTAAATCTGTTGAATATTATGTTAAATCTGTTAATTTTCTAATCTTATGTAAGATTTCTTTTTTATTTTAAAGAAAATAAAAAACAATATCAAAATGAGAACCACATAGACAAAAACAAAATAACTCAAAAACAATAAAAATGATATAGGGTTTCAAAAGAGAATGATAGGAATTAACAGTGGTTGTTACATTACCTATTGTTATCTTCAGTGAAGTTGCTCAGATTACCAGATGATAGACTGCAAGATTGATCAAACAATGAAAGAGAATTAAAAATAATATAAAAAATAGAAACAGTACAGAGCTCCAGTAAACAAGATGGTAGGAATTCATCGATGGTATTAATATTGCATATTGTTGTCTTCAAATTAGTTGTTCAGATTACCAGATATAAGCTGGAACAATAAGTTGTTCAAATTACCAAACTTGGTCAAAAAATTTAAGTATTAACTGTTCTTTGTTTTAACATAAACACACACACACACACACACACACACACACACCCCTAATAACAGAATTCACAAATTGTGTGCATACAGATAAATGAAGAAAATGCCTCTCTCCTAATTCTCCCAAAGTGAATGCTGATCAAGTTTCTTGAGTGTCAAGCGCTGTACTCATTCCCAGAGAGATCAGTGAAAAGACACAGTGCCTGCTCTCCTAATTCTTGGTGTCTCCTGGGGGGAAATATCAATAAAATAAGGGAGCAAAACAATCAGTGAAAGTACAAATGTAGAAATAATGTGTGATTGGACAGTTTCTTCAGAGGAAATGGTGCAAGGAGAAACTGGTAGAAGTGAGATGGAAGAAGAGCGCCGTTAGGTGCAGCCTTCTGACGTCACTGGAAGGATCACCTGTCTCAGCTAGGAAAATATTTTTTAAGACTTTTCAAATTAAATTTGAAAAAAAGCTGATGAGAAAGTATTGTAATATTAAATACATACTAAATATACTATATGGTATATCACATTTATATCTAGATCTAGATCTATCTATAATTTATCTATAGATATGTCTGTTTTCTTGGTCATCTTTCCAATTTCTGGGACAAAGTATATAATATCCGCCATTTAAAGAAGTAAAGGTTTAATTTTTTGTTACTACACATTTGCAGTATGTTATGATAGGAAGTAAGTACATGTACATAGCACACCTGAATATATTGTTATCCCTTTCCCCTGCCCTCCCAAGTCCCTCCATACCTTGGTCATCTTCTCTTTTGCAAAAGGTCTAGCTCTTTAACTACTGTTATCTGCCTTTTGTTTTGCACTTTATTTTATTTAAACCAACTATTTCATTTATTGATTCTTTGTATTTTTTTACTTTCAAGTTCATTAATATCTGCTCTGGTCTTTATAATTGCCTTCCTTGCACTAGCTTTGGATTTGGATTGCTTCTGCTTTTTTAGGACAACAGTATTTATTATTGTTTGGGGTCACTCTGTTTTTCTAATGTGGACATTCACAACTATCAACTTCTCTCTCAGGACTGCTTTTCTTGTGTCCCTTTGGTTCTCCTATGTGGTACTGGCGTTATCATCTGAGTCTACGAACTGTCCAATTTTTCCTTGATTTATTCTGCCAGCCATTGATTATCCACACATGCATTGTTTAGTTTCCATGTGTTGGCACAATTTTATGTCTTTTTTGCCGCTGATTTCTACTTTTAGTGCATGACAGTGGGCGTGGGAGAATTTCAGTTCTTTACATTTATATCTACATATTTAAGCATGCTTTCTGGACTGTTCTGTGGATATTTTGGAGAGAGATCCATGTGCTGCTGAGAATGTGTACTTGTTTTTATCAGGTGGGACACTCTGCAGTTATCTAGTGAGTCCCTTTTTTCAAAGGCATGGTTCAGCTGTGGTATTTCTTTGTTGATTTTTTGTCTAGGTGATCCATTTGTGATAGAAAGGTATCACAATCCACCAGTACCATTGTGCTGATATTTATCTGATCTTTTAATAGCAACAGTATTTATTCATGAAGTTTGATGCCATTATATTCAGTGCATATATATTTATAATTGTTAGCTCCTGTTGAATTATTTCCTTGCATGAAGTGACCTTCTTTGCTCTTCTTGTCACTTCTGGCTTGGAATCCATTTCATCTCAAAATAGGATAGCCAGTTGCACTTGTTTTCCAGTTCCTGTTGCAAGGCATAATATTTTCCAACCTTTAATTCTTGATGTATGAGTCTTTTTGGATTAAATGTATTTCTTATACACAGCATGCTGGGCCAGGGATGCAGCTCAGCGGTGCAGCACCTGCCTGGCAATCACAAGGTCTTAAGTTTGATTCCTGGTACCAAAAAAAAAAAAAAAAAAATCAGAATTTATATACAGTACACTGTTTATTTTTGATCCAATTTGCTAATCTATTTCTTTTGATTGGGGAGTTGAGGCCATTCAGTTTGAGTTATTTCTCAAAGATGTTTACTGATTCCTGTCAGTGCATTTTCCTCCTGTTGTTAACCAACTTCTGCCTCCCAATCCCCCTGTGCCTTCTGCTTAACTGCTCAATCTGCCTGGTCTGTTTATTCCGTTTGATGTCTGACATTGATTTCACTGTCTTGTTAGAAGATATCCTTGAGAACTTTTTTTTGAGTAATAGTTCTGTTGTTATGGACTTAAGATGCTCTTTGTCATGGAAATACCTTATTTCTTCACCAATTTTGAAAGGCAGTTTTGGAGGACATAGCAATCTGGGTTGGAAGTTGTTTGCTTTTTAGGGTTTGAGACACTTCACTTCAAGCTCTCCTTTTTTTTTAAGGTTTCTGTTGAGAAATCCCCTGTAATTACAATGAGTTTACCTTTATAAGTATTTTTTGCTTTTCTCTAATAACAGCTTTTAAGATTCGGTCCTTGTGTTGGATTTCTGAGTTTTGACTGTGGTATTGTGGGGATGTTATTTTCTGAGAGTAACTATTTGGAGTTCTGTATGCCTCCCTTACTGTGTGTTAATTTCTTTCCCCATGTTTGGAAATTCAAGAGGCCCTGCTATGCATACATCCCAGGCTGTGACAGCCATGCAAGCTGAGCCATGGTCCTGCCCATGTTGTCAGCTGGGAAAAGCAAATAACTTATTGAGTTCTGTATTGCACGTAGGCACTGAGGTGAGGAGTCCAAGCCGCCACTGATAGACTCGTCTGATGTTTTTCCCCTGGGCTTTTGACCGTCTTTGAGCTTACCCCAAGTCAGCACAGGCAGGCCTTCTTCTCAGAAAGCTGGGCTGAGCTTTCCAGACTGCTTCATTCTTTTCTTTCCACTGCCCTCCATTTTTCCAGCTTTGCTGTACTTTCTAGTTTTTTATCAGTTCTCTTGTAGATCTACTTCTTTCTTTTGTTTTCCTCTCTCTTCTCCAGGTTGTTATTTTTCAGGTTTCTTGATTCCAGATCTCAGAGAGACTGTCTTTTGCTACTGGTCTCTAGTCTTCAATTATAATCAGGAGATGGCTAATTTGGTTCACAGTTTCAGGGGTCTCTGCCTCTGGTGAGTGGGGATCAAGGCAGGAACATCAGGGCAGAAGGGCATGGTGGAGTATTGCTGCTCCTCTCCTGGTGGCTGGGAAGCAGAGCAGAGAAATAGCAGGGGGATGAGGAGACCTGAAACAAGTATAATATCCAAAGTCTTCCCTCTCTGACCCTATGCCAACACACCCAGAAATATGCTTTAATAATCTTCTGGATGACTATCAAATCAAGTCGACAAACCAAAACTACTGTCCCATCTGTAAACATAAATTTAAAGAATACAATATATACCAATATGTAGAAAAAAAAGTGGTCAGTGCTACTGATATAATGTATGCTTTTTTACTGTAAATTCAATCTGCATACAAAATATTCTTTCTTTGACCTCCCCGGTATTGAACTTTTGTAACACCCCTCCTATATCTCTCTCCCCCTCCCTCCCTTTCTCTCTTTCTCTCTCTCTCTGTCCCTCTCTCTTTGGGAGTTTTATTTCAGAAAGAGTCTTGCTATGTAATACAGGCTGGCCTCAAACTCACAGCAGTCGTCCTGCTTCAGCCTCCCAAGTGTGGGGATTATAGGCCTGTGCCACCACACCCATCTCCCTATTACTCTCTGTGAAGTGCTTTACTTGTTAGTCCTCCTGGTTAATTCACTCTCCACTTAACCGCGAGGCCTACTCCATCACTTAGCACTCTCTTATTACTAGGTGCATTCTCTTCCTTCCTTGAGCACAGTTATCAACTCTATGCCAATTACCCGTAAATTCTTACCATCTCCTTACTGATTTTTCTCCTGAGTTTGCAAATTGGCCACTTGGTAACAACTGTGTCTGTACCGCCTATATTCCACCAGTTCCTCAAGTTCAGGATATAAGCCTGGATTCCCATCATACCCCTCCACCCAGCCAAATAATTTCATGTGCCTTGTGTTTTCTTCCTTTCTGTGTGGATTGCTGAATAATCTGAGGTAAAGATAAGTAATTTGCCCAAAGTTATATTGCTGGTAAGATTCGAACGGAGGGAGGGTGGCTCCATAGCTTGGTGTGCTCTCCCTGCTCTGCCAGGCAGGGGTGCTTTCCAGTTTAGAAATATGATGACACATTTCTTCCTTCTGATGGAAAATGATGCCTACTGCGCGTCAGAAAGACTTCTTCTTACAAAAAGTGAAAGACTTGTTCTACCTTATATGAGAAGCTTGTTCAACTGCAACCTTACTAAATACAGTATACACTTTTAAAATTCAGATTGTAATAATTCATCAATAATGCACTGCTAAAATTCCCTGAAATAGGTCTAGGTTTTTATAAGTTACGATATGATATTGACTGTTAGATATGCTACATGGGGAAATACTTATTTTGATAAATATTTATTTTATAAATTAAAGAATACGTACAGTTGCCATTGTTTCCATCAACATAATCTTTTTACAAAATAAAAAAAAAATAGAACTGCTCCACTGCATTATTTATAGTGGATACTAAGTATTATTGCAGTTACTTTGATTGGTTACATAAACATATCAGAAGTCTAGGCTGTTAAAGGGAGTGCTGTAATATATGGGATTGCAACTGCCATCTGTGTTGGGAAAAAATAAAAGAGGGAAAAAAATCTTTTGTTTTGCAGCATGTATAATTAATAGTTTTCTGCCTCACAGGAACAGGCAGAAACTAGGTAGAGTAAGTAAATTCGAATTTTCTAATAATTTATAATTACACTGAAAGGAAAGAAATTTTTATTCTTTAAAACTAGTAATATATTGTTACATATTTTACATCGAACAATTTACACAAATTTTAGCAGAAAATAATGAATAATGAAAGGAGATATTTATAATGATGATCAATCAATGAAAATCATAGTTTATGAAGAAACCAAGCTGTTCTGTGGTATTTAAAATTTGGGAACAATTGTTAATTACTATCCAAAGTGCCTCATTCTCTGCTTACATTCATTACTAATAAATTAAGTGTTCATGTAGTTCAATTTCCTAAAACCAAAACTGTGATATCATCTGGAGCACATTTAGTCATGTAGTATTGGTAACATGCAAAAGTACAATAGCTTTTACATTTTAGAAACTGATTAAACAAGTGGAACCTTATTTCTTTTTGCAATACAAATTATGGTTATTTTATAAAACATTATTTTTTAAAGTTTCCAATGGGTAGATTGTCTTATTTATGAAATTTCTTTTATGAATTTTTGGTATAATAGTAAGTGATCTCCATTTCAGACTATTTTCCTCAGGTATTTCCCACCAAGAACTTAGAACATATCTATCTATGTATCTATCTATGTATCTATCTATGTATCTATGTATGTATGTATGTATCTATCTATCTATCTATGTATTTATCTATCATCTGTCTATCTTCTATCTATTTAGCTAAACTATCTCTCTCTCTATATATATATATATTTCTGTAATGAAGTCTCTAAGTGGCTTTTTATTGTTCTTAATATTGCAATTAACTTCTACCCCAGGACTTTTACTTGTGCATGTATTTTCAGAGAATGATTCATCTACTTAAGTTAATTCTCTTGCATCTTAATGTTAAGGCTGCACTTCTAATCTATTTAAGAACTCTTTGTTAAATTTTAATTAGTTATTGAGTTGCTTTGTTTCTAGCCTATTTTTAATAAGATGTGATTAAAATTCAACAGATGTTTAGAAAAAAACTGTGATTTCATGGGTACTAGATATTTGCCTACTAAAATGTCAGCAGTTGATGTATAAGGCACTTTATACTCCTGTTACCATGCAGTCCTTCCACTCAGCTTTCATATTGCTGTAAATGTCATATAACACTAAGCAGAGCCCCCCCGGGGGTGCAAAGGAGTTGTCAGCAAAGCAGTATCATTATCTACTCATTTCTCTAGCTAAAAAAAAGTAACCCTGATCTCCAATTATAAAGGAAGACAATGATTCTGAAATGTTTCTTAACCTCTCCATTTAAACTTATAAAAATGAAGCCCATTATGTAAAGACCCTTAGTAATGGAACCTAAGACTATTCACAAATACATGAAGAAAGGGAAAATGGATATTTGCAACAAATGCTAAACTCCGAAAATATGTTTTGCTGAAACTATTCTGGAACTGGAACTTGAGAAAGCGAATCCTCTTTGTCCATTTCAGTATGTTTTGAAATCAAATGAGCAGTCCTGTCCAGGATGCCTTCATGTCTCTGGTTTATTGGTGAACTCTGTAAAGAGTTTAATGAGTTTATGTAAAATAGTCTGGGTCTCATTCCAAACAATTGTGAAATTGATATTAGGCTTATGTCCGTCCAAACCCAACACTAGGTCCTTTCTGTTTAGGCACGCTGCCATTTAACTCACCACATGTACTCATGAGCAGAAAATACTTATAGCTAACATGACAAAACTAAGGGTGGAAATGTAGCCAGTGAAATTGTGTAAATGTTAAGTCACCATTGATTTATAAGTAGTTACCAGCATGAACGTGCGTCATTGCATGTAAACGTGTGGTAGGAATCCATAAACTCACATGGTGCAGTCAGAGCCTCTAATTCCCAGATATTTAATACAAAGTATTAATAAACAATATATAAGGATATCTTCTTCCTAGCAGGCTAAGTATTTGATAAGAGAGTAATTTTTAGTAACATAATTTTGAACTCAGAATCTGAAATTTGAGTCAAGCACTACTTTTATACAAATGTGAAATAATTTGCAGCACAAAAGTGTTGTACCTGCCTTGTCTTCATTTTCCTTGTTTGTTCATCTATCCATTTGTTTTCCAGGAAGCATTGCCATCATTGTGCCTCTTGTCCTCTTGGTGACTTTGGTAACAACCTTAGTAATTGGTTTAGTGCTGTGCAAGCGAAAAAGAAGGTAGGAAGCAATGTTTTAGATGGGGATTTAGGGAATAGATCACACAAAAGCTGCCGAAATGGAACAATTCTATTAAAAATTCATAAAATGAACAAGTTATTTCAGCTTCAAAACCCTGCATTTTCTAAATAACTTTACCCATTTTATTTCAGGTGATTATAATTATAGAACTATTCTCGCATATTATGTTGATGGAATGCTTCCATTTACTCTAACAAATTTACCAAATGCTCATATTATTTAATAGTTTGGTAACAATACATTCTAAGTAATGTTACATCAAAGACCAAAGATCTCCAAAGTACCCTATTATGTATTATTGTGTATAAATGGTGACATCAGGAGAATGATACTGGATTGATTCTGACAAGTATATCATAAATTATTTCATTAACAAATGGTGCATTAATTTATTTTTGATCTTATTGAAAGTATCATCATGTCAATTTATAGGAACATAAAATTATAAAGACAGGGTTGATTGTCTGCAGAGTATAACCTGGGAACAAATTTTGGAATCAGTTTTTGAATTGTGCAAAATGAGATTCTGGCCTTTTGAATTTGTGGTAATATAACAACATATTTCAAAGAGTGCTTATGGGGCTGGGGATTTAGCTCAGCGGCAAAGCACCTGCTTGGCAAGCGCAAGGTCATGAGTTCGGTTCCTGGTACCGGAGAAAAACCAAAAATAAAAAAAAAAAAAGAGTGCTTATGAATATTTTGTTAGAGATAGTTTTAGAGAAAAGGAAGAAAATAAAATTTATAAAAGGTAATTGGTAAATTTTCAGTAATATGGCATTAACTGTTCAAGAGAAACTTCCAATGTACTTTTAATAAGTCAAAATAATTGAAATATGAATTTTACAAAAATGCATTTTTGTTTTTGTTAATTTGACAAATGTCATTTATTCAATTTATTTCAAATTAATTTTATTCATAAATTTTCTATCAGTTGGTGGGGTACATAAATCAGTAAATTGATGCATATGATAATGTTAATTATCTTGAGTGGTGATAACATTTAAATCGCACTGATGTTTATACACATATATTCTAGGACAAAAACAATTAGAAGACAGCCTATTATCAACGGAGGAATAAATGTAGAAATTGGCAACCCATCTTATAACATGTATGAGGTAGATCATGATCACAGCGGTGGAACTCTTTTGGATCCTGGCTTTATGGTAGATCCTACAAAGGTAATAAGTCCGACATGATGGATAGCAAGGGCTAACAATCTTGACTGAAAAATTAGTCTGTGTTTCTGGATTTTATTATCTCTTTAAATAACTGAAGTGATACTAAAGAGGTCTAGGACTCATTGAATGATAATAGACTTCTCTAAAGAAAACATACAATATGAAATGTATTCACACTGAGCATACAAGTTCACATGACAAGTATTATAAAACACTGATTCAGTGGTTTATAAAACTATATAATTTATTTAAAATAGAACCTATTGAAATGTTTTAAAATGTTAGCATATTTAAACTGCATTATTATAACAATGTTGGTTGATTTATTTTTAAGTATAAGAGTACATTGTCAAAATGAGTATTTTTTTCCAATTGTGTTTCATCGATTTGAATAGAGTCTTGTGTATTAATTCTAGTTCTGAATCTGATTTAACTAAGTATGCAATTGATATGCATTTCTGTAAAAATCAATCTTATTCTTTCATGGGTAAAACTAGTATTCTTAGAAGATAATGCAATGATTTTTTCCTAGTTAAAACTGGTTTTGTATGTTATTACTTAACAAATTCCTGAATCTGAATTTTTTTGTGACACCAATTCTAGTTACTGTGGCTCTAGTATTTTCTACTTGAAATGCAAAGATGATTCTATTCATATTTTTTATTTGAAAACTCATCTATGAAGGAAAAATACCTAAAAAATAGACTTCTGAGATTCTATGAATTTTCTTTAGGAATAAAAATAGAGCAAAAAACCCCAACATTCATAAGTATACCATAGACTAAAGAAGGAGTATCTTAAGTGGACTTTAAACACTTCCTACATTTTTTCAAGGAGAGTTCACATTTTCCCTCATTATTTTTATTTCTATGATAAAATGAATTTAATTTTGGGTACTTAAAGAGAAAAGTTCTTTATTACCTCATTTTAAAACTTTTAAAACATTTACTCTAGGAAAATATAGCTAGATTTCAGTGTTGCTCAAATATATTTTATTGTATATAGTACATAGAACTCAAAAATATTTATTTACCAATTTGGTGACTAACAAAATTTCACAAAATATGACTTAGAAGACTAATTTCAGCAGGCTCTTACTGTTTCAAATATAAATAGGAATTGTTATATAAGAGTTAAATATGTACAGAAAACACTTCTAGTTTTAACAGGTATGGGTAGTAGTAAAAGCAGAGGTTTACATCAAAACCATCTCAATAATCAAGTGAAATTCACACAATATTCACCGTTTGGAGTAGTATGATGTATATGCATCATATGAACAAATATAAATGCCTTTACATGTAAGGAAACTCATGCAGAAGGGTCCATTGTATTATTTTCGAAGTGGATAAAAATTTTGATTCAGTGATATCATCAAATGGACTGAAGTATATGGTAAAATTACTAAAATAAATTGGGCTGTGAAAGCAATCACGGATTAATGACAGAAGTGTTAACTGCTTTTATCTCAAATTGTATCTCAATTTTACCTGGGATTATTTTAGAAGGTTGTAATTAATTTGTAAATAATTTATTCCAAATTCACATTTATAGATTTATAGATAATTACAGAGGGCTGTTTTTAGAATTTTATGAATGAGATTTTTGTGGGAAAAAAATAGAGGTAACATTGACTGATTTTCTGTTTAAAATCTTTTCCACTCAAAATTTTTTTGTTTTTTGATTTTTTTTTTTGTACCAGGAATCAAACTCAGGACCTTGCGCTTACCCAGAAGGCACTTGTGCCCCTGAGCTATATCCCTGGCCCTTAAAATCTTTTCCACAGCCCCTTCTCCTTGTGGAAAACTTTGTAGTCATCCGTTGTGAGAATTGCTGGTTAAGATTTTAAAACATATGCATATTCATTAATATTTGCATGTTCTCCAAGTGTTCATCTAATTTTTAATCATTAGTAAGTACTATATTATGAATATGAGTGTAACAGATTGGATAAGTCTGCCTTTAGACCCAATAAAGTCTAAAGTCAATGACCTTGCTTGGAGGCTTAGTTTAGCCAACAGTATTACAAATGAATCTTTTTTAGACTAGAGTCAGGTTTCAAAGCTCTATTAAATTTAAAATTTGGCTTTTCTCCTAACATGATAAAGTTATAATGATGCTTTAATTAGAAATGGTTAGATATCTGCCTGTCTAGATAGCGCCACTGTGAGAACTCAGACTTTTCAGTGTCGAACCTTAAATTAGGGAAGGCTGGTATACTTTTCACAAAGGTTTAAGTGTAGGTATTGCTCCATCTCCCCCTTGAGGGGGATGCAGTAAAATAGAAGTGAGTAGAGGTTGCCACATGCACGATGTCTCTGTCAGGAAGCTATATGTAATTGAAATGCCTAGTTATGCAGCAAAGATCCAACATTAATATTTCCTTCTTAAATTGTGAAAGTTAACGCAAGCGCATTGTTCACAGCCCAGGGCTAGAGAATGTTTCTATGTTATTTTTATGATTTGGCGTGATTTATATCTACGAAAAATGGTTCCATGGTATTAGATGAGAAACTAAATTTTTCTGTTTATCTACAGGCCAGGTACATAGGGGGCGGACCCAGTGCCTTCAAGCTTTCCCACGCGGCGCCGCCCATCTACCTAAACTCTGACTTGAAAGGACCGCTGACTGCCGGGGTGAGAGAAGCAAATCCTTATTCAGTCTCCCTTCCATTACAGAGCCCTCTCAGTTACGGTGTGAGCATTACACTTAGATGTCTGTCTTTAATTAATTTTTTAATTAAAGAGAGATTTCAAAACAACGCTAATGGGGACCTTATGTGTCCTATGTATACAAGATTACATATAAAACATCTTATTTTAGGGAAGATGTTAAGCAGAAATATTACTTCTGCTCCATTTCAAAATGTATACTTCCTTAATGAAGAATTTACTATTCTTAGAAGAGAATATCTAGTCAGAAATGTAAACTGAATACTTTAAAGTTAAATTTGCTTTTCTCTCTCTCTCTCTCTCTCTCCCATTCCCTCCCATACAACTTTAAAGTATTTGCTTTAAAATGTGTCATCATAATGAGAAATCAGAATGGTCTAATAAAGCCACTCTCATTTTTCGGTTAAGTAACTAATGCTTAGACACAGCTACTGTCTGTAATCATATACTTCAGTGTAGGCAGGAAAAGAAGGAAATGCGATCACCCACGTTCCTCGGAATTAGCATTTTTGATTTGTTCCTGTTTCCCTTCAACTGTTTTCATCGCCATCTCTCATGTGTGTCTCTTTTGCATGACTCAAACTGTCTTACTTCTGCAAAAAACAAGCAGGAAATAAAATGCAGGCAACACTCTCCCGGTTAAGCCGCAGTTTGTTAAGCAGTGAACACCGTATACGTTTTCCAACTGAAGTAGCGCACTGGTGCTTGCCGCAGCTATACTTCACAGTGCTTGGTCTGTGTATCTACCGTGTGCTTCACGGTTCTTGGGAACAGTCCACAGATGCTTCCCTTAATCAGCACATGTAAGCTCTGTGAAGCAACAATATTGTTTCTGTTTTGAAGTGCACTTCACTGATGGATGTATTCCTTCACTTTTATTCCCTTGTTTTTAACTTCACTTTGAAAAAAATTTAAGCACCAACCAATTAGATGAAATTTTGTATGCGAACCTTCCCTGCCACTGAGGCATTAACAGTAGAGGGTGTGAGGGGCCCTGTAGCCTAGAGACATGACAATTTGCTTAAATATTTCACTACACAGTGTCAGGGAACGGATCTTCACAAATATTCCTTCTGGTTCCTCATTTTATATCAGAGCTCCTGTTAGTTTCACAAGCTACCTGAAAAACACAGTTATATTTTTATCTAATAGCAGGTTAAACTAGACTAAAACCTATAAACATAAAATATGAGTTTTAGGGGCTGGGGATTTAGCTCTGTGGCAAAGCGCCTGCCTGGCAAGCGCAAGGTTGTGAGTTCGGTTCCCGGTACCGGAGAAAAACCAAAAAAAAAAAAAAAAAAAGAGTTTTATTTCAATATGTATTTAGTAGGTTGAATGCATATAAATATTGTCACCATAAAAATGTTGTCATCTTACAAATAAGTCAACAGCTAATGAAATTACACTTATTGATTTTTTTTTTCTTTTCTTCAGCCAACAAATTACTCCAACCCAGTGTATGCAAAGTTATATATGGACGGGCAAAACTGTCGAAATTCCTTAGGAAGTGTTGATGAACGCAAAGAACTGCTTCCAAAGAAGATAGAAATTGGTATAAGAGAGACAGTGGCATAATCAGTGATATCTTTTATATGCTGTATAAATGTATAAAAATATAAGGATTACTTTTGTATGTTCCAACAGTATTATACTTGTTTTGGCATCAGCGTTACCTGTTTGTTTATCTTTTTCCTGGTTAATTGTTTTCTGAGTATTTTGATTTTATTTTTTGCTGATGACTATTGATTGACCATTTGTATGGTATTTTTATGAAAAAGAACTGCACTACAGTACAATTTCCAATTTGCTGCTGATATGATAACCTTTGAATTTGTTAAAATTAAAAACAACATATTCCTTTGTAGTGTGAATATGAGCAATCTATTTTGTATGAACTTTTTTGGTTCTACTTAATCAACAAAATAATCTCTGCACTTTTTAATTATATGGTCTAAACGCTGCGATATGATGTAATTCTGTTTTTCTGTTTGAATCGATGGCTAACGACTGAAAGGACAACTCTCTTCTTTGTTACCTCGGACACTGATGCAGACTTTCCTGGAAACATGTAACCCTCACAAATCCACCATCCCCTGCTTTGAAATTAGCCTTAGGTTGCCAAGCGATAGATAAGAATTTTGAGGAAAAAAGTTAAAAATATATAAAATTAGAAATTTGCATGAACACAGATGACTACATTTTCCAAAACTTACTGGACTCTGTGATATACTAAATGTACACATCCTGTAAGAAATAGTTATATTTTGGTGGTAGAACATAGCAAAAACATAACCAGAAGTGAACAGAGAACTCTTGCTATGGCATAAGAACTTTTGTTTCCGCGAGTGTCGAGGTAGACAGCTAGCCTACAGTACACCAGTGTTCTCATGTCTTAGGTAATTCTTGCCGAAACCATGCATCTTGTGGAAGACTAACCCAACCCTTTACCACACTGAACATTAAGGGATAACATATAAGCACACAAATTGAGGACAGAATTTTAATTATGTGAATGCATTCTCTGTGCTCAGTCCAAAAGAAGAGGCAAAACATCCATTTTGGTACAGAGTGATTGGTGGTTATTTTCAAACACAAAATGACTAATTCATCATTTGCCCTACTCGAAATACATTCTTCAGTAATCTTCCAAGTTGTAGAAGAACAAATATCTGCCCATAATCAAAGGTGGAGAGTATAAATGCTGTACCACTTGCTCTGGTACTCGGGTTTCCTTTTGGTTATACAAAACAACTGGATCCCATTTGGTTTTTTGTTTGTTTGTTTTGATTTTCAAATTTTGATTGAAAGTATGGTTTATTTAAATTGTATAAAAAGGAGAGCAATTTTTATACAAATATCTTTAAAGGCACAAAAGATTTATTCACAAGTTGTAGAGGGCTTTTTGTTCCTCTGATAGACATGACTGACTTTTAACTGTCATAATGTATTAACCTAACAGATGAAATATGTTTGTGGTTGCTCTTTATCCCTTTGTACAAGCATTAAAAAAACTGCTGTTTTATAAGAAGACTTTTTGTTGTACTATGTGCATGCATACTACCTATTTCTAAACTTTGCCATATGGAGGCCTTTATAAACTATTGATTTATGTAATACTAGTGCAATTTTGCTTGAAAAATGTTATGCATATCATAAACTTTTTCAGGTTCTTGTTTAAGTACATTTTTTAAATTGAACAGTATTTTTCATTTTGGTTATAATAGTCATTTTGCCTATGTTTCTACAATGAAGTGTTAAATACTTTATAAAAAATTGTTGACTGACTTATTTAAATGAAATTCTACATATTTAAGTGCTTGTGTTGGTTAATTTTTAAAAATAAGAAAATTCTTTCCTTTATGTGCTTTAAATCATCCTAGAAAACTATTTTAGTGAACATGGTGTTTTCAATCCTTAGATCATTTTCTGCAAGGAAAGATGGATTCCATTGCCATATTTTTTCAAAGCAGTGTAGAGAAAGCTTTATCTCTCTTCTTGAATTAGAAGCATTTACTTTTGGCTTGCTTCTTTATCACTGGACTTGCCATACCCTGAAAATGCAATAGCAGCAGATAACTTATATGAACAGTAAGATGCCTTTCCCTTTCTTAAGAATTGTACACTATGGAAAACTGAGAGTTTTTACATGCTGCTTACACATTATTTACTAAGTACAATGATCATCTCTGTGTGTACTTGGAGGATGCATCTAGAGAATGCAAAAATAAGTCTGATCTATTTGCTCCATCATGCACTTATATTTTCTGAAAAGATCTTTCTATAGGAGGGCTGAATAAATGCAACTAAAAGTATTATTTGAAAGGAAAAGAATCCACAGATTGGTTTGATCTTGATACAGTGAATATAACTAATAGCACCCATATGTAATCTATGGCCAACAAACACGCAGTACCTATCACTGAAAATCCACTTTCATTTGGGTTCTCTTGAAAGCCATAGTCAAGAAAGCTGAGTCTTAATGGAGACTCTGGCACGCTATCTACAAAAGCCTTCTATTATCATGATCCTGCTTTGTACACCAGCTTTGCTGTTCTCTGCTCATTCACAAAAAACGCACACCAGAATCCATTGTCATTATTTACAGTTACTTTACAGTTAGTCTTTAAAAGACAAAAACTAATTTTTCAGTAGTCCAAATTTATTTATATATCTCTTTTTATTCTAATTTGCTATTTGAAAAGTTCACGCGAATTCTAGAAAATTTAATTTACACAGATGTTCCACAACAAAATGCCTTCCTACATAATTCCTTTAAGAACCAGAGGGAGAGAAGTTATAAAAAAGAAATGTTTCCTGAAAAGCTTGTCCTCCATCTGAGTATCCTTTCATCTAGACCAAGGATTTTCAGCCGCTTGGTATTTTGGGTCAAGGAATTCTTTGTAACCCTTTAACAGAGTAGAAGATTTAGCTGGATCCCTGCATTGTATCCATTGAGGTGATATTAATAATATTCCTCTCTCTAATATTTACAAACAAAAATGTTTATAGCTGCTTCCAAATGCCTTCTGGAAGCAAAGTTATCTCTTGTAAAAACTGCTACTCTGGAGCCCTATTCTGTCTCCTGCGATTAAATGACTGAAGAGTTGAAGAGCTGAGTCATAAAAGATCCATCATCAACAAAATTATGGCTTCTCCAGTTTTCATTTTTAGTCTTTAATGTTGATAGCACATAAATTATAGATATAAACAATTGTATTAGTAAAGTGCCTATGTAGTAAACAAAATGTCATTACTAAGGGGAAAAGTTTCATTTAAGAATATGAATAATCTTGCATAAATTGATGCTTTTAATTTATACAAATTTGTTTATTTGATATCATTTATGATTATGCTATATGTTGGTTTCTGTTTTATCACATGCTTGTTTTGCTAACTGTTAAAGTTAATATTTGACTTCACACTTCTTTCTAAGAATGATAGTCTCCATTTATATGATGATTTGGGTATGAAGAAGTTCAATTCTAAATGCTTGTAATGGCCATTTTAAATGAATAATATAATACGTAAGATGCCCAGAAATTCAAAATCCTTAGTATGAAAGAGGGTGTTCATGATGAAAGAAGTAGAGAAATATTTATTTTCTATTATTATTTCACATCACCATAGTTTTCAAACATACCCTCTGGATATAAAATTTTATTCTGATAATCTGGTTTCTCTTTAGATTGCATAAAATTTTACTCTTCTCCAAGAATACTATTAATATTTAGATTCAACTTTTCTATATAGTTTTAGGTAAAAGATTAAAATTTAAAAGAATAAGAATCTTGAAAAGACAAGCAAAATATAGTTAGCAGTTTTTAAATGCAATTCTTTTCATATTATGCCCATTTGTCTTGGTTACTTTTCTCTCATTGCTGAGACAAAAATGTCAGACACCCAAAATTAAGGAAGGAAAGGTTTATTTAGCTCACAGTTTGTGGACGTTTCAGTCTATACTCGGCTGGCTCCAAGGCAGAGCAGCACATGGCAGAGGGCAACAGTTCATGGTGTCAGAAGACAGAAAAAGCAGCAAGAGCAAAAGGGAGGAGCAGCAGCAAGCATCTTTACCCCCTCCCTTGCATTGTATGCAAACTACCTGCCCCCGGGCGGGTGTAGCACTCACATCCACAATTCCAAAACTGGACTGTAAATCAGTCATAAATCTAGAAGCCCACCCCATGACTGCATGAGGATTTGGGGTGCCATCCAGACATAAACCATACACCATTCCAATTTCTTCATCTTTTTGTGATGACGTTCTCAATAATATACAATATATTTAAATTTTATATAGATTAATAGTCACTAGTTAAATGTGAATCTTTGAATTGTAACTTTCAAGAAATGTGAGAAACTCAAGCACTTCTTTATGAAATTGGTTTGAGAGTTATGTTGGGCAAACAATATTTCTTCCAAGTATTTGGAAAATGAGAAAACCAAAGAGAGGAATCAAACATATATTATTTTTCAATTCTGCTACCACATCAGTTATTAGCCTGACATAATCAGAAGAGTAGCTTCTCCAGGAAAAGATAAAGATAATTAAAGATGTATGTGTGAGGTGTTTTATTCAGAAATACATTTAGATTTTGGACCATAAATTTCCAAAAGCCTATCAACATACACCTTAGACAGTGCTATGCAGGGACCTCTTCTACAGAAAGAAAAGTAGAAAAAATGAGTCGTTTGATTCAGTTTTTCTCTGGTAGATATTACACTTTAGTGGCTGCAATTTATTCTGAAAAATAGTTTCTACTGAGTCCCATCATTTTTTGTTCTATCCAGGCTGATCAAAAATCAAAAGAAAAATTGGTACTAAAGATGGCCTATTTGATAAATTCTGTGCTCAGGATGTGTTTATTCTACCTGATGGATAGTCTGCTCTTTTAGCATGAGGTTTGGAAGATATCAGTGAACTTAAGCAGTGCAATTCTGCTGTTTTGACCATTTATTCATTCCAAGATAACTCTTCAGTGGTGGTTTCTTCTGCAGTTTCAAAGCATAAATTCTAAACTTCCTGATGCTTATTTATGGAGCAGTGGCTGGGATAGCCAATAATATAATTGTTCTAGCCTTTCAGAGTATAATGTCAGTGGTGAAAATGATATACAACTTACTAGGGTCAATAATCTTAAAATTTGTAAGTGAGATAAGACTTCTCTCACACACTGAGTGAACTATGAGATGTACTTGAGAATAAATTTAGGAGTTTGAACTATAAGGGTGTTTATAGAGACACCTAAAAACAATACATGAAACACAGGTTCAAACTGACTAGACTGCAGAGATACCATGTATTTCAATGAATAATGTAAAAGTTAGGAAAGAAATAACTGGAAGATGAGATTTCTGAACTGGAGTTACCTTTATTTCTGCCATCTATGAATGCCTATTATGGTTGTAGAAATCTGTATGAATAATCTCTCTCTCTCTCTCTCTCTCTCTCTCACACACACACACACACACACACACACACACACACACACAGACATTTGGATATTCTGTTAATTATGAAGATGTAATAGCCCTTCTGTTTTATCTAAATTTCAATCACGTTTACCTCTTCTGGCTTAATATTCATGATATCATTAGACTTACACATACACCAATTTCTAGTTTGTGCTCCTTATTATAAAATTGTTGCCTTCCTATTTGCATACCCGCTTCCCCCAAAGTGGAATCAGAGGAAGTCAGCATACTTAGTGTACTATTTTGTATCACCAGCACTGCTGAAAAGTACCATGAAATATATTGACATTTAGAAAACAGAAAATACGTATGAATGAGAAAAATATCACTAATAATTCTGATCCAAAATTTAAAAATAAGTCTTTTTTCTTCCTGTGAAATAAGGACTTTTTCATTTTTATATTCTCCTAATCTAACTCGCTTCCATGGTCTTTCTTGATCCAATTCATGGTTACATTTTGGAAATGTTTCTTCTCTTTTTAAAATCCAGTATTACTCCTACTGCATGATTTCTCCATTCTTAATTTTGTTTATTTTTACTGATGTCATTTTATTTATGCATTTCATCAAAAGCCTTATATGTAGTATATTTGCTGAATTTTCACATAGAGGCAAATGTTTCTCTAAGACTTTCAAATATTAATGTAAACTTGGCTGGGTATACATTTTGAGAACTATAAACTTTTCCTCCAGAATTAAGTTGAGCTTGCTCCACTGACTATGAACATTTAATTTTTAAGGAATACTGTTCAGGCCAAACAGATTTTTATATTTTTGTATTATTTCTTCCCACACATGAGACTTACAACTAAATATAATTTTGTTCAATACACATATAACTTTTCATCACTCCTAAACCTACCGTAACCTACTTATAGCTAAAATTAGTTTTCTCGGTCTGTCTTTATTGCTTATGTTCAAATTATTTACTTTTACACTGAAACACCCATTATTCTTAGATCAAATCTTTTTCTTTTCTTTATCACATACTCCAACTTATGTATTTTCTTCTCTGTTTTCCTCACTTATTCTTCAAGATATTTTCAGTTTCCTGGCTTCTGGTACTGCTTAATGTTTTCCCTTGAGATGCTTTTTGGTGAGTACTTGTGTAAAGCTGTGCATGCACATGTGCAAGCTCCTTGCACATGAATTTAAATGTGTTCACAGAGTTCTACAACTTCCTTTTCCATATAATTTTTTGTATGCTTATT